ACAGGCTTAAGAGCATATCACAGTCTGACCTGTGAAAACGCAACAACATCCCCGAGCACGAAAAGCAAAGCTGCTATTTATAGAACAGCTCCACACTGTATAATTTCTCTTGTTTATTCTCATGGAAAAAAAAAAAAAAAAAAAAAAAGAAACGCCCATCCTCCAGCTCGTGTTGAGAATCTATACATAATTCACTAAGGCGTGAAACATGTGGTGCTCCCTGGCTTCAGACACCACTTCCTGTCCAGGTCCAGTGACCTCTATACAGTAGCCAAGTCCCTCTTCCACTGTGTTAGCATTAGCGACAGGAGGGTTGGTCTGCCAAGGACGTGACTGGGACCATGAAGTCTACAGTTTAAACACAAACATGGAGAGTGAAGCTGAAGATATAGTTTTTTAAAAAAAAAAGTCTCAGTAGGAAGTTTGTCAAATAGCAGGTTTGCTAAAGCTAAGACTAAAAATAAAGATTGGGTTTAAAAGGAGCATCCATCAAAGGCTCTGGCCTTATCGCTGCCCTGAAACAAAATCTCATCATTGAAAGTATTTTAAAGCCACTCACGATAATGTACTCTGTTGAACATTTATAAGTTGAGCTGCACAGATACCAATACTGGTAAAAGTACTGCCCCTATACTACGTTCAAATACTTGTACTCAAAGACATATTCGGAGCCAGCGACCACATATTCCCTGAAAGATTTTCACCACAACCGGTTGAACTGGCCTGCCTGCAGTCCAGATCTGTTTTCACACATACAGGTCCTGTGATTCCTGATCATCCAGAGCTGACGCTGTAGAACACCAAGAACAGGAGAACGACCCAGTGGTGAGAGAGCCAGAAGAATTCACAGCTGCAGCTGCATCTACTGACACAGCGGTGAGGTCTGAAATGGTCACTTTTGATCAGAAAATATGTCTCTAAAAAAAAAAAGACAAGTCCGGCCTCGTTGTTGTCGGCAACCGCTGCCCAACGTGTGAGGGTATTTGTCTCTGCAGCATCTGGACATCTGTCCACTGCCTGTCAGTGATGGAGAGAACACACACACACACACCACGGGCCACAGCTGGCAAGATTTCCTGGAAGGCTGGAATTCCCTGGTTGTTGTAAAGAGAGAGAGAGAGAGAGAGAGAGACGTGGAGCGGAGGAGGGAGAACGTCCATCAGCGCGCCAACTCTGAAGACCCCGTCTGTTGTGTAGGGGACGGTGTTGATGTGGCGTGAGGCTGTGTACGCTGGTGCACGAGTGCGTGACATAATGACAGCGTAATTACCTCACCATCGCTGGCGCTGCCTGCTGTTCATGGATAGGTGATGAGGAGGCCGGGGCCATCGCTCTCCCCTTTTTCCCTCCCCATCCATCACAGTAATAAGGGGAGCCCCAGCAGACGCAGAGAGAGAGAGAGAGAGAGAGAGAGAGAGAGACGCAAACATATGCTTTTCCGGTCTTTGTGGTAATCCCAGGGAAACCCCCTCTGTTTCCCCAAAGGACTCAGGACAACAGTGAGGTAGTGCTGGTTACGGTGGCGGTGGCGGGACAGCGGCTCGTAGCGAGCACTTGTGTGATATGAAAACAGGCAGAGATGGAGTCTCCCCGCTCTGCAGCAGATAACTTATTCAACAACACAGATAACTCAGGGTATTTCTGGAAGCTGCTTTATTACTTCATGTCCTGAACGTTGTCCCTGAAGTCTGTGGAAAAGACGTGCACGTCCGTCCGCTGCCATAAAGCACGCGGGACACGGTGGCCAGAGGGCCGTAAAGCTTTTTACTTCCACCCGGATGAGCCCCGAGCCTGGCCCGTAACTGAAGGATGAAACGTTTGATAAAGAACACGTCAATTCCACGAGGTTTTCATAGGCCTCGGGATTCTACAGGATTATTTCATATTGACACAGGATATCACACAGTTCACTTTTAGGGCGAGGGTTTAGGATCTTAGCACCACTTCAACCCACAGAAGGCAGGATTTCCTTCAACGATGGCATGGTATCACCAGCCTGCAGTACCGGCGTATACCAGCCGACTGGTCCAACCGACAGGTCGTGGACCGCTGCCGTGGGGTCATGACTTTTGTCATATCAAAATATTAGGATTAACCTGGAGTGACGTGGATTAATTCACTTCATGTTGTAATTAATGGGATATAATTTTTTTAAAGTTGTTAGCCCTGGTTTTTAAACCTGGCATCCCAATCTGGGCTGCAGCAAAATCGCAGCAATGCTGGGTATAAAAAAAAACCAAACCTCCCGTAATTTTTTTTGCACCAACTCCTATTGTTTTGGGAAGCAAAACCAGCCGAGACACGCGAGAACGCAGGAGAACTACTTACAAATCTTCTGTGATCTATCGTCGTGTCCTAACCTCGTCCTGGAGCAACACTGTTTTAGACATCAGGACACAGGAGTAAAGGACAAATGTAGACGTCCTCAACAGGAAAAAAAAGTCAAAGAACAGGAATCCAGGCCAATCCTGTGTCCAGGACAAATGCTCTCATGCTGAGCATGACTGAGGCTAATTGGCCTGAAAGCATACAAGTGGCTTTCACGGTAAAACTCTTTGTATCGTAGTAATTTGTTATGCAACAGCAGCGATGAGAGGAGATAATAAGACTTGTTAATCCTTAAACCAATCATTTGTTTTCTTGGAAATATGCCCCGTTCATTAAGGCAGGCTGCTTTTCAATTACAACCACGGGGAATGAAAAGAAAAGCAACACAAAAATAAAAGCCAAAAATAAAAAGGTAAAAGCCAACCCTGGGGCTTATCTGACATCGTCTCATGTTGCCTTTTCCAGAAAACATGACTAAACCTGGCTTCGGAAAAAAAACAATTATCTCTCAACGACTGAGCAGCCGAGGCTTCACTCAGGACAACTGGGGAGAGAGTCCCGTGGTTGGGAGCAGTAATTAGGCACCGACACCGGGGAAAATAAGAAAAATGAAGGTTGAGAGAAGAAGTGAGGAAGATGAAGTAGGAGAAGAGGACGTGTGTGTGTGTGTGTGTGTGTGTTTCCCCACCGTCGCTCCTGGGCTTCGGAATCAAACCCATTACATCTGATACTGGAATTCTCTCTGCTCCTGAATTAATGCGATGCGTCCACGCTTCTCTCGAGTCGGCCAGTGTCGCATAGCATCGCTGCAGAAGGAGCTGCAGCACCAGGAAGAAAGAGAGGAGGACGGGGGGAGAAGAGTGAAGGCCGGAGAGTCTGAGCGAGGGAGGCTGGCTGCAGCCGGAGGGTCATTTCATATTTCCATTTATCTAATTTATTGTTTTTTTTTTCTTTTCTTTTGCTTCCAAGGAGCGGACCGGAACAAACACTGCCCATCGCTCACAGCATATACGGTACGGTGTCCACATAAACCAGGGGTCCTGTAGTCAATCTGCATAATTAACAGAGTGGCATTTGAAAAGCAGAACGTCAGCACAAACAACCCCGGACGCTGAACTTCCCCGGGTCATTTTCTTTTTCCAGCCACGTCATTGGCTCCTGATGCAGAGGAGTTAAACCATACATGGCCCCAAACCAGAAGTGGAAAAACATGTCTGTAGTTAATGAGTGCAGCACTTCCTGGATCGTGTCAGTGATAATCAGTCGACTTCGTGGACTACTGATGTAGCGGCGGAGTCATAAAGACGCCCGACGACTTCAGGAGAGGTTCTGTATGATTCAGAGTTCACGGGAAAAAATAAGCTCCTTCTCATGTGATCACCAACCTCTACACTTAGGATTCAAATATATACAGTACATATATATACATATATATATATTAAGATAACTTCATGATTGTGTCCCACTTGTTGTTGATTCTTCACAAAAAAATACAGTTTTATATCTTTATGTTTGAAGCCTGAAATGTGGCAAAAGGTCACAAAGTTCAAGGGGGCCAAATACTTTCGCAAGGCACTGTATAACATAAAAAATGTTAAATAGCATGTGGTGAATTGCTTTGATCAAATGTTTTTTGCCAAAACTTGGTTGACAAAAAATATGGTTAAAACAGGAGTTAACATTCAGGTTGTTGTAAGACCTTTTTTTAAGGGGTACAGCGCCACA